GACCAGTTCGTCTCTGTATTGAAATACCAGTTTTCAGTTTTTTTCGATTACCGTCACATGATAACATACAAGTACATGATAAATTGTCGATACTTGGTAAGTTGCAGTTGCTCAATAAGCTAAACTAGTACTTGTTATTCGAATCTTTATGCAGTGATACTTGTTGTAATAAGTTGTTTATTTTATTTCTTTTGCGCCCTAAATTCATGAAAGAAATGTCGAATAACTTGTTATATAACTATAAATAATATAAAAAATATTAAAAATTAATTTTAAACAAATTTCTTTACACATTAGTTATTCTTTCACAATGCAGTCATTTTGACGGCTTTTGGGCAATATAGGTATATACTAAATTTCAGTCTTTCTAGTGTTAAAAACCACTACTTCACATCAGTGCTTCTCAAACTTTAATGTGCATTCAAATCACCTGGGAGTCTTGTTAGCAGATTGTTTCAGAGGTCGAGGGTAGAGATTCTGCCTTTCAAACAAGCTTCCTAGTGAGACTGAGGCTCCTAATCCATGAATCACATTTTGAATACTAAAGCTCTAAAAGTAACTAAGAACTCACTATTTCTAAGATTCTTAAATTTTGAGTGTGCATCAGAATTAAACTTATTGAAATACATGGTTATTAAAGCAGGCTGCTGGATTATTTTTTGAAAAACATTTTAAAATTGGTTTTTAGAGAGAAGAAGGGAGAGGGAGAGAAAGAAACATCAGTGTGAGCAAAACATCTATCAGCTGCCTCTTGTATGTCCCCTACTAGGGACTGAGGGTAACCCAGACATGTGCCCTTACTGGGAATCAAACTAGCAACTTTGCCCTAGCTGGTTTGGCTCAGTGGATAGTGTGGGCCTGTGGACTGAAGTCATGGGTTCGATTCTCTGGTAGGAGCACATCCTGGGTTGTGGGCTTGATCCCCCCGTAGGGGGTGTGCATGAGGCAGCCTATCAGTGGTTCTCTCTCATCATTGATGTTTCTATCCCTCCCTCTCCCTTCCTCTCTGAAATCAATAAAAATATATGAAAAAACAAAACAAACTGGCAACTTTTCTGTGCACAGGACAACGCCCAACCAATTGAGCCACACCAGCCAAGGCAGATTGCTGGATTCCTACGAAATTTGGATTGGGGCTAAAAGATTGCATCTCTAATTACTTTTAAGGAGATGCTGATGCTGTTGGTCAGGGACCACACTTTGAGAACCACTGGCATTGACTCTTAACTAGGATTTAACCTTACCTGCTAAATGACAGTACATGTAAGTGCCTAGAACAGTGCCTGGCTCGTAATAAGTCTCAATAGATAGTTAACATTTAATTGCTTATCTAGCAATTAAAAATCGATGTTATATTTAGCTGTGGAGGAGGTTTTAAATAGTACAGATGAGAACTATTGATGCTTAGATTCTACCTCAGACCAATTAATTCAGAGTTGCCAGAGATGGGCCCCTGTTGTATGTTACTTTTTTGTTGTTGTTTGTTAATCCTCGCCTGAGGATATTTTTCCCTTGATTTTTAGGGAGTGTGGAAGAGAGGGATAGACAGAGGGAAACATCGATGTGAGAGAAATACATGGATTGGTTGCCTCCTGCAGGAGCCCTCACCAGGTTGAGGGCTGGGGAGGACCCTGTAACCAAGGTACGTGCCCTTGACCAGAATCGAACCTGGGACCCGTTGGTCCGCAGGCTGATGCTCTGTCCACTGAACCATACCAGCTTGGGCTATGTTACATATTTTTTTTAAGTCTCCAGTGGTGATACTGATGATTCAGGGTTAAGATCACTGATTTGAGGGAAACTCTAAATAGCATTTTTCGGTAATGAGTTCTTCCGAGCTCATTCTAGGCTTTCTCTGAAATATGACATTCTGATGCCCCATCAGAACAGAACTGTTTTTTGCCATGTGCTTTGAGGGGGAATGAGGAGGGAGGGGCAGCATGGGGAGGAGGGCTTTTCACGTCCATCTTTGCTTCTCTGCCTGAGCTGAGGACAAGGAGAAGCGGCCGCAGGGGGTGCCAAAAGCCAAGTGTGGCGGTGAGTACCCCTCCTTGGAAGGCTCCGTTGGGTTAGGCTAATGGTCGGCAAACTCATTAGTCCACAGAGCCAAATATCAACAGTACAACGATTGAAATTTCTTTTGAGAGCCAAATTTATTTCCTTTCATTCATCCTCTCTATATGTTCACCCCCCACTTCTAAATAGACTCGCCCAGGCCGAAAACCGACTTCTGCGCATGGGCCACGAAGTTTCAATTGCACTGTACCTGCGCTTCCGCAGGTGGTATTTTGTGCAAGAGCCACACTCAAGGGGCCAAAGAGCCGCATGTGACTCGCGAGCCGCGGTTTGCCGACCACTGGGCTAGGGCAAGGTTGCTAGTTTGATTCCCAGAAAGGCCACATGTCCGGGTTGCCCTGAGTCCGGGCATTCATGTTTTTTAAGAAGACCATAATCAATTGACTAAATGATTTAAAAAATACAGACTGATATCCAACATGGAAAAGTGCAGAGTTAGAGGGGAAAAGATGACATGATCAAGATGTGATGTATAACTAGGTCAGAAAAATAATTCGTTAGTGATGATTTGACCTGTAGTATTTATATTGTTTTTTAAGCTTGACTCTATTAATATGGTTCTTGTAAAGTGACCCTAACCTTTACTAATGTATAATTTTGCATGTTTTCAGCCTTGTTGTTGTGTTGTTTTTTTAAAATATATTTTTACTGGTTTCTGAGAGGAAGGGAGAGGGAGAAAGAGATAGAAACATCAATGGGGATTGCACACTGAGGATCGAGCCCATAACCTTGGCATGAGCCCTGATCAGGAATCGAACTGTGCCCTCCTGATTCATAGATCCATGTTCAAACACTGAGCTATGCTGGCTGGGCTTCAGCCCCATTTTAAAACGAATATAAACCGGCCCTGACCGGTTTTGCTCAGTGGATAGAGCATTGGCCTTCGGACTGAGGAGTCTCGGGTTCGATTCTGGCCAAGGGTATGTGCCTTGGTTGCGGGTACATCCCCAGTGGGAGATGTGCAGGAGGCAGCTGATCGATGTTTCTCTCTCATCGATGTTTCTGATTCTCTATCCCTCTCTCTTCCTCTCTGTGAAAAATCAATAAAATATAAAAAAATAAAAAGAATATAAACCTAAAGCCATGAGAATAATACTTATTATCTATCTGTTGGTAAATTGTTCTACCTACTGGTTATAAATATAAAGTTAAAATCTATTAGAAAAATATATGGAAATTTAAATTGTTAGATTGATGATACAGTTTTTAACTATTATCTAACTATTATCTATTTCCTTAGAATATAACCAATCCCTCCGCACCATCCCATTGTCTGTCCATGGGCCATGCATATATGCATACAAGGTCCTTGGTTGATTACCTCCCACCCACCCACCACTTCCCTGCCTTTCCTTTGAGATTCCGCACTCTGTTCCATGCTTCCATGTCTCTGGATCCACTCCATTCATCAGTTTATTTTGTTACTTAGATTTCATATATGAGTGAGATCATGTGATACACGTCTTTCTCTGACTGACTTATTTCACTTAGTATGATACTGTCCAGGTCCCTCCATGCTGTCTCAAAGGGTAAGAGATCCTTCTTTTTTTACTGCTGCATGGTATTCCATGGTATAAATATACCACGGAACTTTTATTCACTCATCTTCTGATGGGCACTTGGCCTTTCAGGATTTTTGACTCCTTTTTCAAATTTCAGTTACTTCCCGTTATAAGATAAGGATTTGAAATCTTAAACATTTGCTA